CCCCCCCCCCCGCCGCTGCTGCTGCTGCTGCTGCTGCAGCAATCCAGGGCCTCCAGAACCCGCTGCGCTTCTCGCCTGTAGTCAGCAACACTGCGAGCTGCTGCTAAACCCCCAAGGGCCCCCTCTAGGGGCCCCAGGGGGCCCCCCTGGGGGCCCCCCTGGGGGGGCCCCTGGAGGGGCCCCGCCATTGCTGCAGGGGCCCCCTAGGGGCCCCCAGGGGCCCCTCCGAGCCCCACTGTTTGGGGGACCCCAAGGTTACGGGGGCCCCGGGGAGGGTACGAAGCCTGGGGCCCCCGAGGCTGCTGCTGCTGCTGCTGCTGTTGCTGCTGCTGCTGCTGCTGTTTAGTAGGAAGAAAAGAGCAACAAATAGGGTCTTAATTTTCTTTGAGTTGTAAATAATAGAAGGAAGCAGCAGGGGCCCCTGACACACAACTCAGGGGGCCGCCAGCAGCAGGGGCCCCCGTCGGCAGCGGGGCCCCCGAAAGGGGCAATTTAGTTCAAATAATGAATTATTTTATTTTTTAGCTTAATTAATTTAATATTTTTCGCTTATTTTATTTATTTTGAAACAGCATTGCTGAGTTTCGTGCTTCTAGATTGCCTCGCAGTCGCGCAGGCGAGTAGCTCCCTACGATATAGGGTTTAGGGTTTAGGGTTTAGGCTTCATGGTCTAGGGTTTAGGGTTTAGGGTTTCGCTTCCTGCGAAGACTTGGATAAGTTTTCTGGAGAGTTTTCCACTTTTGTTTGTTCCAGCCAAAACGTGCTTCGAGGGTTTTGGCAAGTGAAGTGCCCAGTCCCTGAAACGCCTGAGCTGGGTCTAGGGTTTAGGGTTTAGGGTTTAGGGTTTAGGGTTTGAGGAAGCAGTTCTTCTCCATTTCTAGCCCTCGCCAAGTGAAGTGCCTGGGCGCTGAAGGGCCTGAGTTGGCCTTACGCTCCAGAGTTTAAGGTCTAGGGTTTAGGGTTTAAGGTCTAGGGTTTAGGGTTTAGGGTTTAGGGTTTAGGGTTTGGGGAAGCAGTTCGTCTGCAGTGCTGGCCTTCGCCAAGTGAAGTGCCCAGGCCCTGAAGAGCTTGAGGTGGGGTTGTTGTTGCTGCATTTCCTGAAAACAAAATGGATAAATAAATAAATAAATAAATAAATAAATAAATACATGCCATGTTTATGTGTTCATTTCATTTATTGAATGCTGCTGAGACTGCGCGCTTAGTAAAGGGCGCATTCGAGGGTTTAGGGTTTAGGGTTTACGCCCTGGGGTTTAGGTTCGACGGGTTAGGGTTTAGGGTTTAGGGTTTAGCGTTTAGGGTTTACATACCTGCTCCGTCTCTTCAATTGCTGAGGCGACCGAAGCTGCTTCTGACTGGACTTTGTGCAGAGCCAA